ATGTTGTCATGATGTTGTAGCTGAAACTCATTTGGCTGAATTTTACCGTCATTATTCATAATTATTAGCATCACACCTCCAGTTCGTATCTGCAGTCGCAACAGGGACTTGATCCCCAACAGGCTTCCCACCAGAAGTTAATGCCGGTTGTGTTTGTGGCAAAAGCTCAGTCAGGCCAGACCTCAGGCAAGAACCACGACGTCCACCCCGGCAAGAGCTGAAGTAAATGTGAAGGTGTTTGGTTCCTTTTTCAGCTCTCTGTATAAGAAAACCCACACAGATGACATCTACTGATTCTCTGGGAGTTAATTTAAAATGACCTGATGACACGTTCCAGAAGTTACTGGGAGACGTCACCTGGACAACATGGTGAAGCCCAACGGATCATCTCATGCTCTGTATCTGGGATTATGGTCCAGCTGACGCCCCAAAAACTGATGATATATGTGTGCTGTAATGTGCTTTTTTCTTCTTGGAACTCAAAGGGACAGAAAGAGTTGTTTTCTAAGTGTTTTTGTTTTCTAATGTGTGAGCTGGAGTACAATACAATGAGCAGGAAAACCTCTGCGTTATGCAACATACCATGCTTTTAAACTTTGTCTGTCTGGTGGCATTCTGGATGCACCAGTGGCAATGACTGGTTCATGTCAACCAGCATTGACTGGTTTGCCAGAGTATCAGTGGAGACAGAGCAGGCAGCAGCAACCAGGCTGTGATGCTCTCGTTCATAAAGAAGCTCACCTTTCCAAAAGAGAAAGCTCACATCATAATCCCATCAGCAGTGTTTTCTGTCATTATTCTTAGTGGTGAACATACCTCGTTATGGCCCGTGGTGTTTGTGGTGGACCTGTGATCACTGTGTGGGAAGATGGTCCAGCTGAAGACGGTNAGGAGGCTCCAAAACAATCAAACATTAAAAAAGTTCCTAATAAAACATGAAAAGAAAGAAAACAAACCAGGAGTGAAGCCACTGAAACATTTACCAGGAAACAATAAAACACCAGATAATACATCAAATATTGTACGAATCCCCGTCGGTACAGGTTCCTGAAAGCTCCGTCAGGCCGAGGCGCTGACTCAGCGGTTCTGACAGTCGGGGAGAACTTGTTCCACAGAGCTGAGAACACGGTCCCCTTCTGCTTGAAGCCTGGGCTTGTAGACAGCAGCTCCTCTGATCTAAGGGCTCTATAGGTGCAGAACACGGCCTGAAGGTTCTGAGAGCGGAGCCGGACCGTGTGGTGATTTAAAAGTAATCAATAGAATAATATTGAACTGGGTTCTATAATGAACGGGGAGCCGGTGTACTTCTGTGTTCTGAATCAGGCCTAAACAGGCAGTCGCTGCATCGT